AAAAAAAAAAAAAAAAAAAAAGCCTATGATTAAGCCTCTTTTCAATATTCTTGGCCATCACCTGGCTTCTAAAAGAAAGGCTTTCTTTGTCTTTTCAATCACTTGCTGATAGGATGAGACTGCATTGTTACTTATATATATGTTACTTGTGGATCAGGGAGAGCAATAAAAGGAAAGGGAAGAAGCAAGCCTCTTTTTGCTTAACATGTACAAAAAATTATGACATAATTTAGAATCTAAATTACGGGTTTGAAACCCTGTATCATTTTTTAATGTTCACATGACATAATTTAGAATCAATCTGGGCATCCAGTCTCACATTTCTAATAAAATTCACAATCCACTTTTCAGCTTGTTCTGAAGTCATATTCAGTTTATCAACCGGTCTATTAATGCTGATACACTGGTAGATACAACAGAAAGTCTCAAATACAAAGACAAGGGCATTTTCAATGAAATCTTCAAGACAGTCCACCAAAAAGTCATTCCCAAGCAATGATTCACATTCCCTCTGCCTCTCCTGAGGCCCACCAAAGTCAACATATAACCATTCAACAAATTCTGTGACAGGATTCTTATACATGTAAGACTCTTGTAAATAACTTTTACTAGATCTTTCAGCACCTACCGGCACTTTCAAACATTTTAAAGACTGCAGTAGTCAGGACAGCAGAGAAGAGGTGGTCATGCCACTTGAATTGCATTAAGGTATAGTGTCTGGTAAAGGAAGAGCTCAATAAAATGTCAATCTTTGAAGTGAATGAGCCATGTTTGCTGCTGAAGAGACTGGAGTGGAGAATTCAAAGAACTGTTACTGATGGTCATTTTTAAGTGTAAGGTCCTCCATGGCTGCATCTCAATTCTGCATTAACATTTCAGAGGCCAGTTTTTCCCAGAGGGAGTTTAAAGCATTTCTATCAATTGCTGGAAGCAATATTCTAAAAAAATTAACCACCTGCTGCTGAGTAATTTCCTCCTTCATACTGGAGTCCTGTATACCTGTAGAGTGTAACTAAATATTTCTTCCTAATTCCTTATTTGCCAGGTAGTCAAATACCATTCGCCTATCCCTGACTGGTTGCATCTGCCTTATAGTTTCTGGATCTTCAAACATCTTTACAATTGGTTCTGTTTGTGCCTGACATTGTTTCATCTGTGAAACAACTATGGTTCTTTTTGTCTCAGGGTAAAGAATGTCATCAGAATAACAGCAAACTCAACAATGTTGGTATCGGTAAGGTAAAACTTCCCTTGTAATATTTTCTTTCTTATTATGTATCTCGTCACAGAGAGAACCTCCAGGAATAGGAAGACCAGGTGCTCATCCACACACAGTGTGGTGCAAGTGGTCGGGTTGTATTCTGCCATCTTGCTAGAGGAGAGTCTATGTTCACTAAAGCTCTACTGGTAGCATGACAGATGGACAAGAGATCTACTACAAAAGTGGACAGGTCAGACAGGCCTGGCCAGATAGAGACTTTCTGGCTGGAGCACACCAGAAATAAAAATATATTTTTAAAAATGAAGCTCTATAAAAATCTATAGCTACATGTCTAGAAGTCCATGTATGTGGTCCACTAGTTTCTCTAATGCAGCAAAATATACAATGTCAAGTCAAAACTATAGATTCTTTTTTGTTTTTTTGCAGTTCAGCTGATAGAACCAAGAGTTTTGTACATGTTAAGCCACTGCTTACTAACAAGTTACATCCTTGCCCCCAAAGTATGACTCATTAACAGTAACAAAAACCCCTTTTTTAGATTCATTTAATTAATATCCATATAAGGTCAGAAAGCTTTAAAATGAAACATTACAACAAAAACGTAAAATAGCAAATCATAAAACAAAACATATTCAAGGTATTGAGAAGTAAAAGTGATAAAATAGTAATTCTGCTTACTCAAAAGGAGACAAAATATATTTCTAAAGGTCCTTTGAATCAGATTACACAAACTAGACATTATAACCTAACAAGGAGATAAAAAACGAGTGTGTTTCTTTCATGTTCAAACATGAAAATCAATTTCATATGAATTTTTTTTTATGAAGAGGCTAGCAAGATCCCTACATTAGCAATACTAGCTGTAAAAAGACTACTACTGTTTATTGCATTAATATATTCTAGGTACCGTGCTAAGTATTTTATATACATTATCTCAACTCATTCTCACAACCACCCTGAACTGTAGGCATAAGGTTTATATTCACATTCTATAGAAAAATATGAAGGTGGGCTGGGGATTTAGCTCAGCGGCAAAAGCGCCTGCCTGGCAAGCTCAAGGTTGTGAGTTCGGTTCCCAGTACCAGAGAAAAACCAAAAAAAAAAAAAGAAAAATATGAAGGCTCAGAAGAGCTAAATAACCTACATGATAATACAGAATAATTGGCTGAGCAAGAATTCAAACTGCATGACTTCTTTCTGCTGTAAGTAATCCCTACCTTAGAATGAATCGAGATCAAAAACCAAAAGCAGTTGGAGGGGATGATCAAACTGAACACTTCTACAAAGTGATGACTGAGGTGGGCACAAACTGGAGCACAATGATTCCAACATTATGAAGCAAGTGTATAAAAGTGGTTACCATAGACTATGGAAAGTAGAGCACAGTAAGTATGAAAAGAAGATGGTCAATGGGCAAACGTTACCATTAGGAGGAATTCTGGTTTTTTACAGCACAGTAGAGTGAACACAATTAATAATAATGCATTGTAATATCTCAAAAGAAAAGACAGAATTTTGAATGTACTTACTCTAAAAAGTTTAAGGTGAAGGATATGCTTAATTACCCTGATTTGATCATATATATCAAAAATCACATGGTCCCTGCATGATCATATATGCCTGTAATCCCAGAACCAGGGAGGTTGAGGCAAGAAGATTGCTAGGAGTTTAAGGCCAGCCTGGGCTATATAGTGAGTTCAAAGCCAGCCTGGAATATATAGCAAGACCCTGTCTCATACAATAAAACAAAAGATATCACATGGTATCTCCTGAGAATGTACAAATATATATCAACCAAAAAAATAAATTTAATAAAAGGAAGACTAAGAAAAGAACCACTTCACGTATTTGACAAGGCTGGTGAAAAGAAACCAGGAATCTAGTTTCCAAATACAGAGGTTCTGACTGCACACTGTTAAGAGAAGCTGTACTGATGCAGACAGGTTGTATAAGGGACTAATAGAGGGGAAATTGAACCAACTATCAAAAAGAAATTTGGTGGGTTTCAGAGTTTAAGTATAAAAAACAGCATGACAGGTATCTGGATCTAGATCTCAGTGGAAACTTCAGAAACGGCCCCAACAAGACACAGGTACTCGTGCCTTCTTTCCTTCCCATCTTTTTCTAATTAGTGCTAAAAGAATATATAGTCATGGCCAAAGTGCTCGCACCAAAGAAGCTTAATCAACAACCTTGTATTTTCATAAAAAGATGAAACTATAGGCTTAGATCCAAGATTATATTAAGTCAACAAGAATTCTGGGATTTTTTTTTTTTTTTGAGACAGGGTTTTGCTATGTACTCCAGGCTGGCCTCAAACTCCTGGTAATCCTCCTACCTTAGCCTATCAAGTACTGGGATTACAGGCATACACTACCACACCTGGCTAAAAATTTCACGATTTAACAAACCTGCTTCTCAAAGCATGTTTACTGAGATAATCCTCACTGCAGGATGTTCAGCAAACTTGGTCCCTAAAAGCTGGTAGTATTTTTCAAACACCAAAGCTAAACTGCTCCCACCATCCTTGCCAGAGGAATAGAATGCAGGTGAAAGACACTTATGGCTCCCAGTTAAGAACTACTCCACTAACTTATACCATGATGTCACAAATCCATCTGGATCCCAGTCTTTCTTGCTCTCATAATTATCACACACACAAAAAAATACAGCTTCAGAGACAAGTGGGCCTTTTAAGTGTTCAGGACTTTAATACATAGTTGTAAATTTCAAGGTAGATCTTAGATTCACACTTCAACTCTTAAACCTATTGTCTTAGTTACTTTTCTCGTTGCTGAAACAAAATACCTGACACCCAAAGTTAAAGGGGGAAAGGTTTATTTAGCTCAGTTTTTGGAAGTTTCAGTCCATAATTGGCTAGCTCCAAGGCAGGGTAGCACATAGTGCTAGAGGGAAAACAGTTTGTGGCAGTGGAAGACAGCAAAGATAACATGAGAGAGCAAGACAAGCCTCTTTCGTTTCCTTATACTGTACCCAGTCTACTGGGATTAGGGTGGTGCCAATCAGTGGACTGAGCAAGCAATCACCCACTCTTAATCTCAGCATTGCACTATGAATCAGTCACCCACTCTAGATTTAACCACCTTCAAAAAAACTTCTCTGATCGCATGAGGCTTTGGGGAGACATCTATATACAAACCATAATACCTAGCAAATTTCTTTTTGGTAGTAGAATGCAGTTTCAGCTCCATTGGTTCAACCTTCAACTTAGTAATGACAAAACATTTACTTCAGATTATGTCCTGAGCTGTTAAGTCCAAACACAGCTAGAAACTTTAAGTATAATTCAGTTTAATATGTTAATCTTTTCTGCAATTATGACTCCATTTGCATCCAATAATATTCCAAGTCTCAGGGTCTTGTTATCTGGCACCACAGTGACTAACCTCTCAGGCTGCCTGAGACTGAGGGTTTTCTGGGAGGTGAGACTTTTAGTGGAAACAACATGATAACAATGGGCAAACTATCGGGGACTGGTTATTCTATCCCGCACTTAAGCTTATTTATAGAATGAAAGACAAATATAATTTCATTCAATCTGTGACCCTAAAGATGAAAAATGGGTACAGGCTCCAATCAATCTTAATAATTATTTTCACTGTATTGTAAAACTAAACGAAGCCATAGGATTCCAGGAGATAGAAAGATCAAACTTCTTTTGAAATAAAACACTCTGAGTGACAACATAACTCAATGTTTTGTGTGTTTAATTTAGACTCCTCATTTCTTCCTGGAGACAGGTGATTAGGCCCTATTAATATTCATGTATACTCTCAAATTGGGTTTTTCTAAAAGCCCAAAGAGGGCCACATTTGGCCCCTGGGTTGCATATATGACCCTTCCCATTCTAGTCTAGTCTAGCCTAGCCTTGCCAAACCTATGCTGTTGGAGTGAAACTTGGAATTCTTTGTGAAGAGCTGTTATATTTTGACTTTAAAATACATTTACTGTTATATTTAAGTGTCTGGTAGGTGAAGAAATTACTAGTTCTGCAGATTTCCAAAATAATCAGTTAATTAAAAAACATTATCTTCTTCAAACACTTCTTCATCAACACTATAATGACGGCTCTGTGTACAAAGAGGGAAGAGAAAATCCTCAACATACTTACCTCTTCAAAGCCCATTTCAAATAAACATTCAACAGCTCCTCTGACAGGCAAGAGTCTAGTGGAAAAAGCTGTGTTTCCAATCCGAATAGATCTGTATTTTTCATCATCAGGATTTCTGGAAAAAAAAAAAGTTGTATTATATATAGAAATTTCTATTTTCATATTATTTTTGCATTTTTTCACAATGCATACTGACTATATTACAACATGGGTAGTAAAGACTCCAACCTAATGGATGCAGTCAGGAAAAGTAGTACAATTTTGTGATTGTGTACATTTAGTATAAGCTCACTCTCCAACTTGACAGGCCACAGTTATGAGTGATGCTGTAAGAAAAATTCATGTGATATTTTAATTCTATGCTGTTAAGAGCTATGTACCTTTTTGAGTATTTTAGGTTTCTAAAAGAAAAAAGTCTACATAAATTACTGACTGCGGGGGAAAGATTTTTGTCTGGTTGTGATGGATTCCATTGCCTAGCATGGTATGTTGCCACATAAGTGTTGGTTAATAAGTTCCTGTGAAATCAATGAATGAATCTAAAATGTTGTATAAAAATGGGTCTCAATTTATTATAGATTTTATTTCAAACAAACCTAAATCACGGTTTACCTTTATAGCCACTTGATTTTCTTTCTTCCCTAGACAAATAATTGGTTTTACAATAAGTTCTGCTCCAGTTCAAGATATATTTTGGCACAGAAGTATGTAAAAAAGAAAATATAAATTTCTTTTACCATAATTAAGATTTGGAAGAGTATACATGAGATGAGTAACCAGCACATGAAAAGGTTATTAAAAGTCTTATATCAAAGCTTCTTATGTACTGATTACTCATCCCATGTATATTCTTCCATTCTAGGCAACTTAGCAACTCAGTGAGGCCCTATGTCAAATTAATACAAATAAAATGTGTTGTGGATATAGGCTCAGTGAGAAGGCCCTGGGTTTAATCCCTAGTACTACAAAACAAACAAGCAAAACAAACAAAAATGTTGCATCTAGTCCTTATGGTAATGTATTATTCTGAGGTATATCTAATTTTTTTAAAAAATCAACCTGCCTTAAGAATGATGTGGGAGGCCACATGTACTGGTGCATACCTGTAATCCCAGTATTTGGGAGGCTGAGGCAGGAGGATCCCTGCAAGTTAGAGGTCAGCCTGGGCTAGAAGTGAATTCAAGGCCAGCCTGAACTGCACAGTGAGACTCTGTCTCAAATAACAAACAAACAAAAAAAACGATGTGGGAGCTATCTCTGGCTTTAGTTCTGTAATTCTCTATTTCTGACAGCAAGCAACACTTGTACACCTGATTTATTAAGTTTAACATGAAAACTGTAACAACATATAACTTTTGCAGCAATTACCTATGTGCCAAGTCCTTTATATTCTGCAGCTATCCTATGGTTTTCTTTCCTTTTACAAATGAAATACTAAAACCCAAAAACCATATGTAAGTTTCTGAGAATACGCTTAGAAAATAAATGACTACAAATTTAGCACATTGGTCTGACTATAAGGCTTAGATATATTCTTCCAAACTAGCTGCCAACACACTCACTAATCATCCATTAACTATTTGCTTTCAATTTCTCCAGGTATCAGTGTAATTTAGCTTAGAAATTTATAATTCTGATTTCTTTCACTTCAGTTCTACTTCTTACATTGTCACCGAAAACTGTCAGTTGCTATTTAGAATGCTTTCTCCATTTCTTCAATGTTATAGTTTGGATCAAAAGTGTCCCCCACAGTCTCCCATGTTTACAGATGGAGCTTTTGGAAGGTGATTAGATCATGCGGGCACTAACCTCATCAATGGACTGATGAGTTCATTTCTGAATGTGTTCTCTGCTTCTTGGTTGCAGGGAAGTTACCAGTTTTCCTCAAGGGTGCAAAAGTGTTAGTTTCACTTGTAAGAAGAGTCCCTGGGACTTCTACTCAAGATGGGTCTCCTAGGGAATTGGTTCTCCAGGATTCATTTCATTTTAGCCTCTTACTCAAAAGGATGCTGCAACTATGATCCAAGAGGGCTTTGGCTACTGCTCCTGCTGATGGTATACCTTTCCACTGTACATGTGATGTTGGTTTTACTGGCATGCAGAATGCAAGAACTGTGAGGTGATAGAGGCTTTCACCTAGATTTCAAAAAGAAGCCCATGAAAGGACAGAACAAAAAGCTGTGGGAATGAAGTGAAAGGTGCAGTGGAGACCCCAGGAAGTCAGAAATACCAGAAATACCTTCCATAGAAAGCTGCAGCCTAGGAATGGAGTCAGCTCAAGAAAAAGGCTGTATGGACTACAACCAGCAAGAACCTAAAAAAGGGTCAGCCCAACCCCTCTGGAACTCACATTTTATTCCATGTGCTGCAGAGGCCAGATATGGAGCTATAAAACTTAACGTTTGCCCTGCTGGATTGAGGTCTTGCTTTGGTCCAATTCTTTTCTATCCCTCTATTCTTCCTTCTTGGAATGAGAATTTTACCCTGTGCCATCGTACATTGAGATTATGTAATTTGTTTTAAACTTTGGGTTCACAGCTCAGAGTCTGCCTTCAGTCTCAGAGAAGACTTTGATTGGATTTCTGAAAAATGGAACTATTTAGACTTTGGGGACTGAGTTACTACACTTCTGCTCTATGTAGGATAGTTATATTATTAGGAATTATGAACTTGTGATTTTATTTGGAGATTAATTATGGGTTAAGGAGATATGTTTGGGTGTGAAGCTGACAATGAGTGGACTGTAACTATTAATCCTGACAGGTCAAATTCATTGAATTAAGAAACACCTAGCAGATTAATAAAGCACATGCCTGTGTCTGGGTAGGTCATGGAGGTGTGACCTTGTGATCTATGTCTGTTCCCTCACTCCTTCCAAGCTACCACTGTTCCCCTGCTCTGCTTCCTGGACACCATGAACTGAGCAGCTTCCTTTTTTTAATAACCTGGGAGCCACGTGATTACACAGCGTGAACATATGAGCTAGTTAAACTTCTCCCTTAAATTGTGGGTATCGGGTATTGTGTTCAGCAAGGAAAAGTTGACTGACACAGAAACTTAGTAGCAAGAGTGAAGTCTGCTGTGGTCATGGTCCAAAAGAGCCTAACTACTGCTTATGCTGACTGCAGACCTTGGTGTCATCCATGTGCTGCTGTTTTGCAGGGATGCAGAATCCAAGAATCACAGGGTCACTGAGGCTTCCATCTAGGTTTCAGAGGAAGGCCTGGGAGGCTAACCAGTATGTGACAGGGTCAGAGTCCCTGTGACAAGCCCCTGAGAGGGTGATGCAAGAAGCTCTGAGAGTGAAACAAACTGCAAGAGTGAAGCTGAAGCTTCAATGAAGACCTCAGAAAGTTGGAGACGTCTGCATATGAAACATCTGCCAAGAAAAGCTGTAGGCAGCAAGCAAGAGTCACTGTCACATCTACAGGCCAGATGGGCTGTAATTATCAAGGCCATAGGGGTGCAGCTGCTTAAGCCCTTTGAAGAGCATTGTACCACTATGTGTCCTGGATTCTGGTCACAGAGCTGTGGCACTTATGGTGTTCCCTGCTGGGTTTCATTCTTCCTTTGGTCCTATTCCCCTATTCTTCCTGTTTGGAATGCAAAGTTTTACCCTGTGCCTATCTTAGGCATATATAATTTGGTTTTTGATTGTTATAGGGGTTTCCAGCTAAGAGTTGCCTTGAGTTCCAGAAAAGACTTTTGACTTGGACTTCTGTGAAATGTTGGAACTGTTGAGACTTTAGCAACTCTTAAGAGATATACTGAATTCATTTTGTATAATAAGATAGGCATGAGTCTTTGGGGGCCTAGAGTGGAATGATACGGTTTGGATCAAACATCCTCAAAAGGCTTGTATGTGCAGAGGTGGGATTCTGCGAAGGTGATTAGATAATGGAGGCACTAACTTTACTGAAGCATCACTCAACTGATGAGTTCACAGCTGAAGGTTCTGTCTGGAGTGGGGACTGGTTCAAGTCAAGTCACTGGGTACGTATGATGGAAGGACATATATATATATTTGGGGGAGGGTTGAGACAGCGTCTCGCTATGTAGTGTAGGCTGGCCTTGAACTTGCATATGTAGCACAGGCTGGTCTCAAATACATGGCGATCTTCCTGCCTCAGCTTTCCCAGTGCTCGGTTTACAGGTGTGTGGCATCATGCCTGGTTTGGAAGGGTATATTCTTTTTTTTTTTTTCTGGTACCAGCAATCGAACTCACGACCTCCCACTTGCCAGGCAGGTGCTGTGCCGCTGAGCTAAATCCCCAGCCCTGGAAGGGTATATTCTTATCCTCAGCTTCTTCCTCTCTTTTGGGGCCTCCCTCTGCTGTTTCCTGGTCATCATGATATGGGCAGCTTTTCTTCACCATTTCATTTCTGCCTTGGAGCTACCTGATCTTGGGTTGAAACCTCTGAAAACATAAACCAAAATAAACCTTTTCTTGTTTGAACTGCTTTTTAGATATTTTGTCTCAGCAACAGAAAGGTGACTAATATAATTTGCATAGTAGTTACAACTGTGCAAAAGTTTCACAATTGCAATCAGTGCCTTGTGTCTTCATCTTATTTCACATGAAACTTTCAGTGTTTCTTTTTTACTTCAGAAACTATAGTGGCTGTCTTTTGCCTGTCATGTCAAAGATGCATTCTCTGCTATTCCATGAACTGATCAAACCTCTTTTCTACAAAGTGTTTCATGTCAGTTCTACTCGCTCTTTTTAAAGGTTAGTGCTTTAGAAGTGATTAAATATTATCTTGGACCTGTTCTCAGATTTTATAATGTAGTTCCTCTGTGTATATTTCTCCTAAATATATCTATATTCTCTGAAGACACCATTTTCAGTTCTTAACTCTTCTAAATCACACCCAATGTAATTTATACTCAATAGCTGTGCAGTTTGCAAAATAAATTAATGGAAAATCAATTCTATATTTTAATACTGTAAAGAAAAAATGGAAACAAGTTAGCTAAGAAACCCTCTGAATTGTCAGTGAAATTACTACAAATTTTTGAGAAACTAGATATTACTGAGGTCATTTCACCTTAGAAGTGAGTGGGCTGGCATAGCGGTGTACACCTGTAACCTCAGCACTCAGAAGGCTGAGGCAGCAGGATTGCTGTGAGTTCGAATTATAGAGTGAGACTTCATCTCAAAAAATAAAATAAATATTTAAAAAGGAGTGGTATTTTTGCATGTAAACTAGCCCACACTTCTGTAAATGAATTAGATTTGTGACTTTTAGTTTGGGGATAACAAAAACATCATCCACAGCAGAAATTTAAAATTTAACTGACAGTATTATTTCTACTTGTGATTCACTGTATATATCAACAAGTATCACTTTTCATTTTAAAATTCTCATTTCAAAATGTTTTGTCAGACTCAGAACAATAGCAAGATAATCCCCTTATATACTGTCTTACCTCTGACACTAGTGGATTTCTCAAAACAGCAAAACCATTTTCTCTACTTTAAAATAACTTAGATAAGTACAACTGTAATATTGTGTGTCTAAGGACTAAGAAGAGATCTGCACCTTTTCTGAAGAGGTTAGGAAGACAAGGGATTTAGACATGTAACAAGCATGGTCCCTCTTCCTCCTCAAGCCTGGGTCTGAATGCTAAGAATATGAGGACAAAGAAACTATTGTTTTTAGTTCTGGAGTTGAGATGTTTTCTAGGTTCTTTCCAACCCAAACAAAGAATTGGTCAAGACAAGCACAAAAAGTAGTAAGATTTTACATTTATTATTAAAGGTAGGAAAAGAAACATGCTCTGCAGAGGGAGTACAGGCCAATTAAAAGTAAGGAAAGAAATACATACACTCAACAGGGTGAGAACAGACCACTGTAAAAGACAGAACGAAGCAGCCACAAGAAAAATGGTGGCCATATCTTGTGACTCCTATGTCAAGTCTAGGCTGTCCTATCAAAATATTGCTCGAGGTCTGGTGAAAAGAATTCAAGATAACCCTTTCTAACTGGAACTGTTTTTCTGCGCATACCCACATGCTCAGCCAGTTTGCCAGGTCCTAATCTCCTGCTTCCCTTCCCTGAAAGACACAAATCAGATCTCCAACTTCATACAGAGACTTCCTGCTGAAAGGATTGCAGTCCCTAAATTCTGCTTGAGTCCTCATGAGAACTGAACACAACACTTTCTGATTGGAAGTTGTGTAAGTCCTGGTTCACCCACTTGCTCAGCTGGTTTGGTGTGGTGCCTTAACCTGCCTATTACTTACGACAAACTAACAAGGGCAGTTTTTCACACTATCTTTAATTACATGAGCTCCAAATTCCTAATTCCTATTTTTAGATAAAGTTATTTAACATCAGAAATATAAGCCACAGTAAAGACTGTAACATGAACCGAAAGCACGCCAAGTCTCTTTTAGGAGCTTAGCAAAATTCACAATGTTGATTATGATGCCAAAAGTCATTATTTGCATGCAAAGCTGTCCCTTCCAAAGCACCTTGATCTCAGCATTTTTGGTCTCATTTGACTGAAAGCATAAGTAGGTAATCTTTACAAGGTCACTTCCCTTTCTAAACAGTGGAGGATTAAAGAATTTGAACTAAGTTCAAACTGATGGGGTCAAGTTCAAACTGATAGGGTCTGGAGAACCCAACTCCTAAGTTCAGTCCATTGGCATCTTTGTACTTTTAAGAAAAGGTGTAAGACCTCTCAGGGCAGACAAGGTAAATTGAGGTGTCACAGAGGGAGATGACTTCCACGAAGGTCACAGCTGTGTAGCAGTGAACAGGCCGTATACTGGCCCCCTCACAGCACTTGGCATTTAATAAGCGCAATATGTTCTCCTTTTTACTTTAAGAATAGTTATGCTATCTAAAATTATTGTGATGGATTCAAAAGCTGTACTTGCAGCTAGTGTCTCTAAAATTTGGGGTCACATGGAATCTATAGTCTTCAAATTGAAAAATTTCCTTTTAGACTTCATGCCAATATACTCACCACTTAAAGCCAGCACGGGGGATAACCATGCTAACCTCTTCCACTTGTCTCCATGAAACACCATGTTCCTCTTTAAAACACCACGGAATTTAAATTCAATCGAAAGAACTGAAGTAGGTGATGATTCAAAATGAATAATCAAAGTTGCCTCAAAATTCCTGAAACCTGTGAAGTCTTTTAGGGCTCCCCAAGAGTCCTTTTGCTCACAGGAGAATGAAACAACTCCTATTCAAGGTGATTATCTTCATTAACTCTTATTTATGTTGAAAAGTAGAATCCAGATGTTAATGCAAAAATAGTAATTTTAAATTATAGTGTTTTAATCAATAAAAACGAGAAGCTCAAAAAAAAAAAAAGCTTGCCACTTGGGTTGTATTATTAATACTTAACATATTTATTCTCAAAATGGGAAGGAAACCGCTGAATGACTAACTTCTGATAAACCTGTGGAAATGTAAGCCACCGCGCTCCGCAAAATCCACGCGGTGGAAATGAAACGCTGCAGGGGCGCCCTTCCCACCGCCCCCTGTCCCGCCCTGCCCTGCCCCGCCCTGCCCGACAGGGGCCGCGGGCCCGGGCGCACCGCCCCAGCCCGGACCTCAGGTGCCGAGTCACAACTGCAAATGGACTTCCTCCTCCCGGCGGGTCAGGAGGCCGCGGCTCCGTGACCCTCCCGCCAAGCCTGCGGCCCCACCTGAGGATGTTGTCGGCGTAGGTGAGGAGCAGCTTGGAGGCCTCCAGAAAGGTCTCAGGGGCGTTCTGGCAGAGCT